TATCGAACTTAATGGGGCGGCCGTCAGGATCGAATTCGAGAACGTTGAGCGAGGCCATAGCGTCTTAGTGAATGGGGGCCGCGCAAGCAAGCAAGCAGGAAGCTTCCAGGAAGCTACGAGGGCTGCAGGTGAGCGGTGCACAGAGCGGCAGCAGTAGAGGGCCGGCAAGCAGGCCGGCAGGAGCAGCACGCGGGCAGGTGCGGGCGGCGCTAGAGGGTGGCTCGCGGGCCGCACGGGCAGGAAGCAGACCGCGCGCGGGCGGGGCGGGCTGCCAGCAGGCGGTGGCGCGGGCTAGCGCGGGCTGCGCGGGTGGCGAGCGGGCTGGCGCGAGCTGCGCGGGCGGCGAGCGGGCTGGCGTGCGCTGCGCGGGCAGTAAGCAGGGTGGCGCGGGCTGCGTGGGCAGCGAGCAGGCCGCGCGGGCAGCAGGCAGGCCGCGCAGGCCGCCAGCAGGCGGTTCGCGGGCTGGCGCGGGCTGGCTGCGCGGGTGGCGAGCGGCCTGGCGCGAGCTGCGCGGGCGGTGAGCGGGCTGGCGTGCGCTGCGCGGGCAGTAAGCAGGGTGGCGCGGGCTGCGTGGGCAGCGAGCAGGCTGCGCGGGCAGCAGGAAGGCCGCGCAGGCCACCAGCAGGCGGTTCGCGGGCTGGCGCGGGCGGTTCGCGGGCTGGCGCTGGCTGGCGCGGGCTGCGCGCGGTGCTAGCGGGCTGCGCGCGGCGCTAACGGGCTGCGCGCGGGGTCCTAGCGGGCTGCGCGCGGGGTCCTAGCGGGCTGCTCGCGAGGTCCTAGCAAGAGGTTCGCGGGTCGCGCGGGCTGCAGTAGCAGCGAAAAAAAGAAGGCCACGCGTGGGCAGCGGGCCACACGCGGGCAGGGAAGTAGGTGGGGTAACGCGGTAACAAGGTGGGCCCGAAATTCTAGGTCTAAATAAGGACCTCCTACTCGGATACCATATCAAGATAGTAGGAGCAGTGAGTGAATCAGTATCGAGAGAGTTGGGTACAAAATAGGAACAAGGGGTTGTACCCCATAGTGGCTACCCCACTACAGCCTAGATAAATAACCTAAGCATATATGTTTGACACTACTCTCACGATAGTGATTGTTGTGTGGGTCAGGTACGGGACACGCTTTTTTTGGGACTCCTTTGGGGCAGCCCAACATTTTGCAGGTGATACACGCACATGATGTAAATCAGACAGGCATACACGTTACTCCTTCATGATGATTCTCTATACTCTTGATGAGAATCCTATAGGGTTGCATGAAGAACACCATACATTGAGTTGTCTGTTGCATTGCCACCAGCCAAGTTACATAAACTAGACTACTGTGGTTGTCTTCCCAGCAACTGCGCCAGTGCAGGCTACGCAAGCAGAAAAGCAAAACCAGCAGCCATGGTAATGGCGCTGACAATGTAGCCTGCCAAGGGAGAAGCATGGTTCGAAGTGTTAATCAGAACTTCCGATACATCATCGATGGCAAGTAAGGGCTGATGGAGATTCAGGAAACAAGAATCACAAAAACAACACAAGGGAGCATGAAATTATTATGAAAGCGTGCTATAACGGGATATGTCACTGTACCAGGCTTGATCGGAGAAGCGGCTTTGCTGGCTTTGCTGTCGGGAGAAGTGGCATTGCCAGGAGAAGCGGCTTTGCCGGACAGGTCAATGGGACTCCCAGTGTTGATTATAATGCCGTCCTTTTTAGTGGCGATGGTACCATTACTCCACAGAGTCATATCGTCTCCTACAGTCGCCGAACCATCGCTGTTCCGAACAAGTGGAAGCGCCTTCCCACTAAGATCTGTGAAGTTGAACATGCTGTACATTATCGTGCTGCCAAAAATGCGGCTGCCGTCTGGGCCGTTAGATAGAATCACGCCGTTGGGACCAACGATAGTATCATTACTGTAGCTAGTGTACTCTCCAATGCTTTCAGACCCATCCTCGTTTTTGGTGATGGGCACAACCGTTCCACTGGCATCCACAACCGTTTTGTTTCTGTACATTGTGTACCCGCCGACCGTCACGGTAATCTCGTTGGATTCTGCGACGGCACTGCTGATGAGCGTGCTCGTCACAACAGCAACCGCGAGGAGCAGCACAAAGACTTGACGGGGGCGTGGGAGGGCCATGGCGGTTCTAAGGCAGTAGTATAGAAGTATCAGCACGTAGTTAGAACCAGGAAATACGTGTGATGTGATAGAAGTAGTAGTTAGAGAGACTCGGCAGTAGTACTGACACAAATGCGGTGGTGACACATATATAGTAGGCAGTGGTGGTACACACACCTGTGCGTGTGACAAGTCCGTGTCATGCCTTCCGCCAATTACTTTCCACATTTTGGCTGCTATACAGCAATGATTTTGCTGACTCTGCATCGCAAGTCTCCTACACAAGCACCAAAAGGCCAATAATGCCGCACGGGTCAGAAAAGTAAGACTCTTTCCGGTTCCCACCAATAATACCAGGCAGGTATCGCATTGCAGGTGACCTCAGGCCGCGGAGTAGCCATTCCGCAGCGTGGGGAACGTGAACTACCTCCAGTGTGGGCCCACGCAGAAATAATTGCAGAATCACAATTATAGTAGTAGGCAACGAAGCAATGTATCCGCCTCAGCAAGGGAAGGTAAAATTAGGTCATGCTGTGTCAGCATTCGGCACAATAATAGAGATTCCGGAGATGGAAGCCAAACGCTAGTTCACACAAACGCAAACCCGTAATTTCATTGTTCCCCTCTATCCACAGCTTCACGCTGTATTTGACTTTCAATGACTATGCGTGATCTTGTCAGCATGACATTCTGCAGGGCGTGTGAAATTTCCCCAAGCACCTCCGCCATTCTGAAGATTCCTTTGCAAAAGGAGAAACGAACGCGTTGGTGGTGGGGTTCGTTGTGCTCGTGGAATTATCTCCAACTGGGATCAGTCAGGCTCTCTTGGAGAGGTTCTTCCGTGGCAGAGAGTATCGCGATAGCCAATCAGGAAAAGCCACCAACTGGGCGACCCTTGTCAGCAGATGGGGTCTCCTATGAACCAGTAAACCAATTCTGTGCTGGCATGGGACTGTGGGTTCGATATTTTCACCCTGTTCGGCGGACTGTGGGTCCAGCGAGGTCCAGGGTATAAAGCGTATTGCGACCCATCTCGATTGGGTCGGGTTAGATCGACCTTGGTCGACCAGAGCCAACCATCCCCGCGCAAAATAACAGAGAATTTTCTATAGATGTTTTTACCACGTTCGAAGCACCTGCAACGTAATTGTTATACGACCTCCCTGCAGGCTGGGCGAGTTGTGGCGAGTGTCAAAAACTCGCCGAACCATTTGTTACAAAAAACCTTGCTAGATCTGCAATTCGTTAACAAATTGCATCTGGTTGGTGATTGGTGGAGGAGACCCGAAGAGCGAACGGATTTGGAAGATTCTCGAATCTCGTGATGGTGCTCTCAAGACCTGGATGTTACTGCATAGCGAACCGCCGCGCAAGTAGCGATTTGTTCTCATAGCGGCCCGTGGTGAAAGCAGCAGATTAGGTTAAGTTTTAGACTAAACAACATCACCCCTCGTTCCGCTCTCACGTGCTTGCGATTCCTCGCCTTGCTCTTTCTTAGCCGCCATTCCTCCCGTCTTCCGCAATTCCCTGCTGCTCTCATACCTGCTCTTTTCTCTGCTCCAATGCCAGGCCCTAACAAGCCAAGTTGCCGTTCTTCCCTCATTCTCATCCTCGTCCTCCTCTCCCTCTCACCATCTTTCAATGTGTCACCGACAACGTCGTGGACGGTAACGGTAACGTCGCCGGTAACGGCGACGGCGGCGAAAGTAATCGGAGCGGAGAGAGTTACTTACAAGTCCCCAGATCCGAACGAAGAGGAGAAGTTAGAAGCTGCGTTAGGCAAGATTAAAGCCCCAGTTCAGGCTTTAACGGTGCCAACCCTCCGTAAGACTATAACGGAGCATTCCCGCGTCCTTATAGTGTTTTTCAATAAGGAGGATAAGGCGTTTCCGTTGCTCGTGGATGACGTGTCTGGAGCTAAAGCGGAGTTGACTAAGCTGGGTGTGACTGTAGCGATGGTGGATGGAATTGCGGCGGGCGAAAGCGTTCGCGAAGAGTTCAAGGCGTATGGCGACATGCCGAATTTCGTGCTCGTCAGGGACGGAGTTTTCAGACCAATCAGGGGCTACCCCGAGAGGTGCGAGTCTGGTGTCTAATGAGTGTCATCTTCGGGTTACCCTAGTCGAGCTGATTTGACGAATTGCGAAACTCGAAATTCTAGTTCGTGCTCGTGAGGGGAAATTGTGAATTTCAGACAGGCCAGCCAATCAGATAATACTCCCAATGCAGTCGTGTTCAATAAGCTCGTCCGAAGTCAAGGGTATCCATCCATTACTGGGACGATCGAGCTGCGTTCTAACCATGAACTATTGACCAAGGTTTTGATAATTCTGATCCTAAAGTTCCGCTGATCAGGATTCAGTATTCAGAGGTGAGACGCCTTCTGAGGCGCCTCAGAAGCCATGAATTGTTTATCATTTTGATCCTGAAATTCCGCTATTCAGAGCAATCTTCAGAAATGGAATGCCAGCTGACCAGCGGCGGTGTCTGCAAGAATCCCTGCTGATTCCGGTATTCATATGGATTCAATGATTTTTTTGGGGATCTCAAGATCATTTCTATTCTTTCCGCCCCAATCCCAGTGACGAGCTCCCAGTGGCCAGTGACAGCCGCCGCTGCTGCTGTCACTGGTTCTATTCTATTCTTTGTGAAGAAGCGCCTGGGCCTGGCAATGACCCACCTCTTATCAACGCCGTTGTGCAAACGCTCTGTTCTTATCCCAATCCCCTCTCTGCTCCAATCTCATTCACGAGCTCATCACCTTTGTGAAGAAGCGCTTGGGCCTGTCAGTGACTCACATCTACTGAAGCAGATATACCAGAGTTCATCCAGTGAGGCGGTTCTATCCTCTTCTCAAACTTCTCTTCTCTCCTCTCTCTTCTCCCCAACCCCAGTGACGAGCTCATCACCTTTGTGAAGAAGCGCCTGGGCCTGTCAGTGACGCATCTCTCCGCCTCGGAAAAGCACACAAGGCACACTCTCTGCTCGCTGCTTCTAACGCCATCGCCCTCGCCCTCTTGCACTCCCTCAAGGTTGGTCAGTGTGTGCCTCTCCTGCTGTCTCTCTGCCCGTATGGTTGTCAGTGACGCATCTCTCTGCCTCAGACGCGCACAAGGCACACTCCCTGCTCGCTGCTGCTTCCAACGCCATCGCCCTCGCTCTCCTGCACTCCCTCGAGGTTGGTGTGTTTCTCGTCTCGTTCTGCTCGAGGTTGGTGTGTGTGCCGCGCCTCTCTTTCTGCCTGCCCAGTCTGCCTGTCAGTGACTCACCTCTCCACCTCAGAAGCGCACAAGGCGCACTCTCTGCTCGCTGCTTCCAACGCCATCGCCCTCGCGCTCCTCCGCTCCCTCAAGGTTGGTTGGTGTGTGTTTGTGTGTGTGTGTGTGCGCGCGCGTCTTTCCTGTTGCCTCTCTCTGCCTCGTCTCGCTGCCCGTCTGCCTGTCACCCACCCACCCCTCCGCCTCAGACGCGCATAAGGCACACTCTCTGCTCGCTGCTTTCAACGCCATCGCCGTCGCCCTCCTCCACTCCCTCAAGGTTGGTTGGTGCTCGTCTTTCTCTCTTTCTATCGCTCTGCCAGTCACAGTCACTTAATGTTTCCAGCGCCGTCGCCCTCGGCCTCCTCCACTCCCTCACAGCTGGTTGGTGTGCATCACTTCTGCTGTCTCTCTTGCTCGTCTCTCTGCTCGTCTCTGTCTGCTCGTCTCTCTCTGCTCGTCTCTCTGCTCGTCTCTCTGCCTGCCCGTCTGCCTGTCAGTCAACCCCCTGCCCCTCACACGCACAAGGCACACTCTCTGCTCGCTGCTTTCAGCACCATCGCCGTCGCCCTCCTCCACTCCCTCAATGTTGGTTGGTGCTCGTCTCTCTCTCTCCTTGTCTCTCTCTCCTCGTCTCTCCCTCCTCGTCTCTCTCTCTCTCTCCTCGTCTCTCTCTCGTCGTCTCCCTCTCTCCTCGTCTCTCTCTCGTCGTCTCTCTCTCTCCTCGTCTCTCTCTCCTCGTCTCTCTCTCCTCGTCTCTCTCTCCTCGTCTCTCTCTCTCCTCGTCTCTCTCTCCTCGTCTCTCTCTCCTCGTCTCTCTCTCTCCTCGTCTCTCTCCTCGTTTCTCTCTCCTCGGCTCTCTCTCCTCGTCTCTCTCTCCTCGTCCCTCCTCCTCGTCTCTCTCTCCTCGTCTCTCTGCCCGTCCTCCTATGACAGGAGTCCTGTCACTCAACCCTCTGCCCCTCACACGCACAAGGCACACTACATGCTCTCTGCTCCAATGCCACTACCTTCCCTCGGTCCTCCTGTGATGAGGCGATTTTTAAATCGACTAAAATTATTGCTTCTAACGCCATTGCCCTCATGCTCCACTCGCTCCACTCACTCACTCCTCCCCTTCTTTGCCCTGCTTTTGATTAATTCAAAATGTGACTAGCTGGCGGACTCCTTTTGACCAGCTGGCGGCAGGGCGAGCATGAAGAAGGCCCGGGCGCAGTGGTGTTCCGAACTGACGATCCCCTAGCTGGTTATATGACGATCCACAGGGCGAGCATGCTGGTTATAGGCGAAAAAATGTCCCTCTCCAAGTGTATGTGCGTGTGCCTGCCTTGGTTCTTTCTCCCCTGAATCCCGTCACAAACTCCATCGCCTGTCCCGTGTGTGTCTCACCTTTTTTAACAGCCGGCGGCAGGGCGAGCATGAAGAAGGCCCAAGGAGCCGTGGTGTTCCGAACAGACGATCCGCTAGCTGGCCGCGACTACCGCCCCGCCATGCCCGGAGACAACCCCGACTTCTGGGAAGGCTCCCAGTGGGACCTGCTGGGGTGCATTGCGGAGTACCTGTGGGTGTTCGGCATCGTGCTGGCTGTGAGTCCTCCAGACCCCCTTTCTTCGAGTCCCAGCGCCCTGGTTGCCCCCTCTACAGACCTCCTCTTACTGTGGTGGATCGCATAAGCCCTCCCTGTAAGCTAGCTGGCCGGGAATACCGCCCGCCCATGCCCGGAGACAACCCCGACTCTGGGAAGGTTCTTAGTGGGACGTGCTGGGGTGCATTGCGGAGTACCTGTGGGTGTTCGGCATCGTGCTGGCTGTGAGTGCCAACCAACCCCCTTGCTGTGTGTTTCCCTTTCTTTGGCGGTGAGCGCCCTGGCTAGCCCGCTGTATGATATGAACCCCCGTCAAGTCAACGGCATAAGAGAGCCACGTGAAAACAAAACACGTTTGGGTTCCAGCGTCTCAAAATATATACTTTTGGGTTCCAGCGCCCTGGTTAGCCCCCTGTGTGAACCCCCCTCACTGTCAAGTCAACAGCATAAGCTCCCCTGTAACTCTAGCCGATATCAGTGTGCGACCTGCTGGGGTTCGTGGCGGGCGGGGTACCTGTGGGTGTTGGGTATTGTGCTCGCCGTGAGTCCCTCCCATTACCCGTGTTCTCCGCTGTTGACTCTCCCGTACGCTCATTTGCGAGGCCATAGCGGTGCGACCTGCTGGGGTTCGGGGCGGGTGGGGTACCTGTGGGTGTTGGGTATTGTGCTCGCGGTGAGTGCTCCTGATCCTTCTCGTTGGGTCTGTCCGTCTCCTTGAGTCTTTGGGTCCGCGGAGACTCCTCACGGAGTGCCTGTGGGTGTTTGGCATCGTGCTCGCTGTGAGTACCAGCTCCCGTTCTCTGGCTCTCTGTTAAAGTCCAAACTCCGTTTCTGACTTTTGAGTCTACTTGAAGGAATGTCGCTTTTGAGAATTCTCAAAAGTAAAATTCCAAACTCCTTTTCTGACTTTTGAGTCTACTTGAAGGGATTTCGTGCCGGATGACCTATGGGTGTTAGGCGTCGTGCTGGATGTGAGTACCGATTCCTTATGTGCGCCCTTTTTCCCCTTCACCCCGTCCTCTCCCACCTACCTACACCCCACCTCCCGTCTTCTCCCCCACACCCCACCCCAAACCCCATACCCCCCACACCCCATACCCCATATCCCCACCCCCGCCTCCCTAATCCCGTTTCCCTCCTCCCCCCCCCCCATTCACATTGATCTCACCTTGCGAATCTTCACCCACACCCACACTCACGCTCGCACCCACACCCACACCTACACTCACACCCACACACACACTCACACCACACCACACCCACACCCACACTCACACTCACACTCACACCCACACTCACGCTCATACCCACTCACACCCACACCTATACTCACACCACACCCACACCCACACCCACACTCACACCCATACACACACTCACACTCACACTCACACCCACCAACACACTCACCCCACACCCACACCCAGACGCACACTCACACCCACACTCACACTCACACTCACGCCCATGCAGCCCTTTTAGGGATCTCCACACGCAATCCCAATGCCTCCCGCTCAACACTTTCCCTGGGTCATTTTCCTTGTGCCACTTTCCTCTTAAAATTTCTACACATAACTGCCTCCCAGTTAGGGCGAACTGTTCTTTCTTTTTTCTTGTAAGATTTGAAGAGAAATTACTCTCTTTTTTTCCGTGGGTAATTCATGTTCAAGATAATCCATGCTCAAGATAATTGTTTAGAACCGTTTTCTGACCTGCTGCAAGATACTGGCGATGCCATTCAATCCTCTTGCTTCCCTCTTGCAGATCATTTTGTCAATCTACGCCGTTACAAGCTACACTCAAGACGACAAATCGGTGGTGGAGGGAGGAGGCATCAGCACAAGGCTCTGCTGTTACTGTGTGGAATCATCTTGTTACCTATTCCCGCCCCATGCAATTCCCTATTCTTGCTTCCCTCCTGCAGATTGTTTTATCAATCCACACCGTTACGAGCTACCAATCAGGACGAGGAAGTTGTAGTGGAAACGGCATACGCAGCTGTTCCTTGTGGAATCATTATCGGGCCTATTCACGTCCCATGCAGTCCCCTATTCTTGCTTCCCTCCTGCAGGTTGTTTTATCAATCCACGCCGTCAGACTCGGCTGTTATTGTGGAATCATCTGCACCATTGGAAGCCGATCAGCTGCTTGAGCCGTTTGTACATGATGCTACTCCCTTGTAGATGCAAAATAACTGTATACCAGCTCAACAAGAACTACGGTTAGTAGTAGTAACATGACTGGAAGCGGATCAGCTGCTTAGTCGTTTGTCAATGACCCTCTTGTGTATTAGCATGCACTGTCTTTGTGAGTGGGTCCTTAACTCATATGCTGTCTCATCTTCTTCTTTGTGTTGGAAACAAGTAACTTAAGCGCCCCTGTTGTGTCGAAACACCAAGTCAGAAGCGAAGCCAAACATATCGAAGCATCGGCGAGTCAACCCTCGGAGGTTGAACAACTGCTGGAGGTTACGCGAAAGTCAAAGGTCAGCGACCTTTGACCTGACAAGTACAGCGCGACAGCAAGGACAAACAACTGACTCGCTATTGAGCAGTTGCCCGAGTCGTCACTGTATCGAACCGCAACAGCAACAGCAAAACAGTTATTAGTTATAACCCTTCATATTCCCTTGTACTCTTATAAAAGGCTTGTATCTCTTGTTTTAATCAATCGACTTTGCCCTCACATACCAGCGCAAGGTGGTTCACAGACTTATCATTAAACGCTTCCGCTATTACACTGTTCCTACTCTGAGTTTAGTCCTGCAAAGATCCTAAGGGCTTTTCTCAGCCCAACATGGTATGAGAGCTATCAGGACAAATTCAACCACAATCAAGACACCCACAACGTCACAAGGCATGACAACGCAAAAGGAGAGAAGCTCCTCTAACGGCTCTCCCGGTACTAGACAGAGGAGGGTACGGCAACAAGACCAAGGGCAACATCTACCGAAACTCCCGCAAACCAAGCCGCGGGCTTCGACCCTAGCATGATGGAGAAATTCTTCTCCTTCATGTCCTTCTACGAACAACACCAGCAAGGGGCACATGCGCAGTCAAACAACAGCAACAACAACAACGACGTGACACCCACGAGTCTCGATGGCTCGTCTTACGCGCGCGGAAATCAACAGCAGCAGCCTACCTTCGCTCCGTACGAGCCCCAGCGCGGCTCCATCAGCTTTATGCCACACCCGCAGCCTGCACCTGGACAAGAAAAGACACTGGACGCACTTCAAGTTCAGTCGCAGTTCGCGCACGTCCTAAAACTGCAAACGATAAGGCCTTTCGATGGAAATGACTTCTTTACCTGGTCATTCGAGTTCGAGCTGATGATGGAAGGCGCGCAGATTCTTGGCTTCTTCGACGGGTCCCTGCCATATCCAACACACGGCACACAGTACGACAAGCAGCAGTACACGTATCAGTCAATGATGGTGTACACAATCCTACTGAGAAACATCACTCCGAATCAGCAGCAGAATATACGGTCTTACCGGGGATACGGCAACTCTGCAGAGCTCGCGTACAACCACCTGAAGAACCTGTATCAAGCAACAGACAGCGTCAATCAAAGTCGGTTAATGGCGCAACTGACAACAGTCGAAATGAAACCAGGCGAAAAGGGGATGGCGTATATCAGCCGCTGTCGCGAATTGCACGACAAACTCCTTCGATGCGGAGGGTCGATTTCAGAAGACGCCTTCGTCACAGTCATCATCGGCGGCCTCGGTCCTTAGTGGCGCTCCACTCGCGCCATACTCCGAGCTCATGGAAAAATATCAGAAGCAGCACTCTGCGCCGAGATCCACGCCGAGCAACAAGATATGGACCTGCAAGAAGAACGACACAAGAGGAAGGCATCAGTGCCCGAATTCGCATTCCACACTCAACGACGCTACAACAACAACAACAACCGGCATCAACCGAAACCAGTACCTCCGTTCTGTCACCTTTGCAAAACGTCAGGTCACCCCCGTACACACTGCCCAAACCGGCAGCAGTCAACGCCAACGCAGCGGCCGCTTCGCCCTTCAAGCAGTCAAGTCGCCTCAACGCAAGCGAATCCGACCACTCAAATCCAAACTTCAACAACATCGACGGGACAATCTGCGCAAGGAACAAGAAACATCGTCAGTTGCATGGCACGGCTGACCGACTCCAGCATCACAGAGTCACCACCGCATTACTCACCGGAAGAGCAACTCGACAACAGTACACCTCGCCGCGAGTCACTTCAACCAAATCCGACGTATGCAGCCATCGCCCAAAGCGAGCCATCCGGGAAAGATACGTGGTTCTTGGACAGTTGCTGCGGACAGCACATGTGCTCCTCAGGACGTTTTGTTCAGCGCGAACACCAACTTCAACGCGAAGTCGTCATCACCGTCGCCAACAACCAGAACCTGCGCACACGACGACAAGGCGTTGTTCAACTTCAGTCAAGGGAAACAAACGTTATATTACAGATTTCAAAGGTTCTAATCGCGGAGGGACTCGGCTACAACTTACTGAGCGTCAGCCAGCTGATGACGAAAGGCATCCACCTCGAAGCAGACAGCACCACTCAGGAGTTCAAATTATACCACGGAAAGGGCGGACTCTACATCGGGAAGGCAGTATTGAAGAACAACGTCTTTGTCCTCGACTTCGTCCCAGATCTCGGCACCGCTGACAGAGACGGGATCGTCACCTTCACCTCCTGGACACACCCACCAGATCTTGACCCCGACTTCAGTCCCGAAGGCTTCTGGTACTCGCACACCATTCCTGAGGCAGAACGAACAAGAGAATTAGCAACGATTCAACAATCGGGAGCAGCAGATACAACATCGGCAGCAGCAGAGACAACATCGGCAGCAGCGGAGACAACATCGGCAGCAGCAGAAACAACGGCAGCAGCAGCGGCAACATCGACACCAATTGCTGGCCCTTCAACTGCACCGACTCCAATCGACGACGACACTTCACCAACTCCTGCGCAGCAGCTGAACCCAACTCA